TGGACGCTTCTATTTTAACAGGGTCCTTCGATAAAATATTTTCTTCCTTTCCCTTTAATATTTTATTAACATTCTTTGACCATATAAGAATGTGAAAATGGCAAATTTTTTGAATAACATCATTAAAAATATAATGCTGGTCACATGTAAATGGATTGGCAATATTTTGGGATAAAATTATACTACTTAGGTATTGATTTTACGTTTTCTTTGTGACATATTTTTGGCAAAATATCTGAAAGTATGAAAATGGCTGTTTGGAATAGAATGTGAAATTTTTTAGATGGATAGGCTAAATTTCGTTTTCCAAATTGACGACTGTTAATAATAAATGCATCTTTTGAAGTGAGTGTTTGGTTTCCCAATAAATCATTTTTGCATTCAAGACATTTAGTCATATTTTTGAAAGAATTTTTGGCCATGTAACCTGCAATAAACGCCATTGTTCCTCTATTTATTGACGACATCTCTGGAGAAAAGTTTTCGGCTCTTGATATATCTGGCACTTGTAATGTTGGTCCAGATTTATTACTCGATCTTGCAAAAAAATCTCTCAATGAATCTAGTGCTACCCCCTCATCATTCTCGCAATTAGATCCTGGAGAATGTGGTGATAGAAAGTTATTTATCAGTAAGGCTTTAAATGAATTGACAAATGATTGGCATGTGGGATTGATATTTCTAACTCCATGACTTGATTGACTTCTTATACTGCCGAAAAAATTCTCCAAAGGGTCTTGATTGAAATTTCTTATCGAAATGAAGCTGAAGCCATTATCTTTTAATTTTGGCCAGAGATACCGAAATCCCTTTAAGGTATGAATCCAGTTGTTTACTGATGGAGGCACATACTTTGCATTGTTGCTTTTCAGAAACTTGATTGACTCAAAAGTTTTAATAGCGTTTTTCCAAAAGGCCATATAAGGGGAGGAGTCGTCAACAGCACATCGAAGGTTGTTTTCATCCGGTAAATTGATAACTTTGGCACCATTAACGCTGTCGAAACATTTGTTCATGAATAAAATGAACTCTGCTGTCTCCTTAGCTTCAGAAGGTATTTCGTCATCTGGAACTGAAAAAAATAATATTATCATTCCTCACATTTTTTGGAAAGTAAAAATATGAAATACTTCTCAACAACTATTTCTGATTTAAATTTTCGCAAAAATTACCTAATGTAGCTAATCCTTTTAAAAGTGCTGCGACTCGTCTACTAAATGTTTGAGCGGCTATGGATATACCTTCATTTTCTTTATGTTATTTATATGTTCCTCGGTTATTTTATATAACATTTTGTAATCTTTGTCTTCATTACAGTCAAGTTTGTAAAGTTTTTTTAAATGGTCCCATTTTGCAGTCATCTTGCCTGTAGTCCCAGTAAATATACAATCCCTTTCAAAAAGATTATTCCGAATGCATTTTAAAAGATGAGGAGGATCGTAAAGTGGAACGACCTCTTCCTCATCGATAAAGATGCCAAAACCCCGATTTTCTTTTTCCTGCAGAGCAAAGTTTCGCTTTGTTTCATTGTATAAATGGTTTATTGCAGCCCTGTTTGGTCCACCCTGGTCACATACTGTGGCAACTACTTTCAGTCCAGTCGATCTAGCTGCACGTATCACCTCTTTAATACATTTCACCAAAGTTGCAGTTTTCATACCACCACTATTAAAGTAATAGGCTAGAGGTTGTTTCCACTTTTTGTGAATCCCTCGGGCCATAAATACCATAGCTTTATCCGCTAACCTATTGGTCCTATCTTCTCCTACATTGTCTTCGAATCCATCTAACCTATCTTCTCTATGATTATACTGCACAGATGGATCCAAAGATATTTCGTCAAAAATAATGGTGCAGTACCTGTCAAGTCTTTTCATTTTGCGTACAGTTTTTTCCAATTGTTGAAAGATTATATCGTTAATACCAGTGCTAAAGGGCACACTACTAAGTAAATTAGTAATAGTCCTTCTACTGGGAAGGGCAAAAATTTTTCTAAGCATTTTATAGCCCTTCGGACTTTGTTTTAGTAGGCCTCGAGCGAAAATGTTCTCTTCTCTTGAATATCTCCGTCCTTTTGGAGGAAGTTTTTGCTGCTTCAACTGACTCATTATAAAGTTGAATGACTGATCATTTAACTTAGTTCGCATAAAAACTCCTGATTCGGCAAACTTATATGCTTCTTTAATTCGTGCTTTTCCATCCATTGCCCTCTTTTTTAGTCTGTTTGCTGTTTTTTTCAAGGAAATTGCAATTTTATGCAATTCTTTTGCACCAGAACTCAGCTGTCTTACTTTTCGAACATTCATTGGAGGAAAAAGTTTTTTTCTTGGCAAGTCTGAAAGATAAAATGTTGCATCATTTTATCGATAAGAACTAAGAACGCAAAACTGATTGAAATTTACACAAAATAGACAGTGGCATTTCCAAAAAAAAAAAATTGGACATCCCATTCCCATTCTTCAAGTAAAAATCTCAATCTAGTGTTGCTTTCTATATTTTGTATTTTAGGTTTCTATAATATTACCTTGACCTCTTAATGGAACTGGAACACGATCATATTCCGATCTGTCTGCAAAAAAATTCACAGGAAAATTTTCCTCGGAAAGACCTGGAAGCTGATTTTTTTGAGCATTCTCCTGTTGCTCATAGATTTCACTGATTGACATTTCTAAAAAAAGAGAAAGTTTACCGCTGAACTAATAATCAATTATGATATGTTCATTACAATCATGATGTGAAAATATCAGGTAGGTATATTCCAACACGTAAAAAACCGTCTCCTGCCTGAACTGTTTCGAAACAAGTCTGTATACTAATTTCGGATTCTATGCACAAATTTTAGCCTTTGCGCAGAATCGTGACGATAAGTTGTACGGTTTCCTGCTACGTTGTAACAAAGCTACTAAAAGGCTTTAAGACTTACCTTCTGAAGCAGACCTAGGCAAACAAAGTTTAGGATAGCTTCCTACTTTCAAATCTGCACCACTACGTCCAATTAAACGGCTAGTTTGATCAAAATGAAGGTCACATACTCTGTAATTGTTCCGTACCAACATGGGTTCCATCGGGAAGAGTTTTGGGTTGCCAACGTTCTGCAGCCATAGATCGAACACCTAATAAGGGAGAAAATTATCACTTAGAACTAGAATTACACGAGATAGGTACCTACTGTTCTTAATTTCCAATAATATAAATCACATAAATACGAAATATGATGATACCTAATAAGATAGAATCCCGATCTCATGTAAGGATTGAAACATATTTACCTGCTTATCATTTTTCGGAAATCGATGCATTTTCACTTTGTTGCCTCGGCTTTCACACATTGGCACACAGCACGAAAAAACCATTTTTTTTGAGCGAGGAAAATTTTGAATTTCTTGCCAAATTATCGAAAGAAAACGAAAACTGTCAAAATTTGTCAAAAATATGATAGGAAGTAAAAGTGAAGCAATGTTGCCCCATGTCAAAAGTATGGGATATTTGTTTTGAAAAAGAAATGTTATTTCAATTCGTACTGGCAATTATGTCAGCGAGGCACACGACTTTGTTTTAAATTATTGTTTGAAGCTTTTTAAAGTAAAAAACAAAGTATCTTGGACTTTTTATTTATAAATCTGACAACAGCATAAAACGAGATCGTCGACAGCGCCTCTGCCGTCTGTAGTCGCAAGCTTTTAGCGGAACAAATTGTGCCATAAGAGTTGCACATGCATGCACGGGCCCCTCTCAGGCCCGGGCCTGTGTGCTTCACACACATGGCACACCGGTAGATACGCCACTGAACAAAAACCATCTTAATCAGATTGTGGTGCTGTACTGACTATGTTACTAATAGTTGGGGAGCTGGCGTCAAAAACATGCAAGAGTTTTCGCAAGGCGGATATTTTCAAAATAGGTCGTACTTTAGTGCTAGAATGCTAGTGTACAGTCAGCAGTCACAGTTCCGGGACAGCTGGCTCTGGGACGCGGGCAAAGTTGTAATTTTAAGAAGCATCTAAACTGTTTTCTCAAAGCTCAAAATTTATAGAAATTTTGCACATTATCTGTTTGAAGGTCACAGATAACGTATGTAAATCGTCAGACGTCTAGTTCGTTGCAAAAAGGGGGTCAGACGTCCTCAAAGTTCTTATTTTATGGCAGTTTCTTCAAATATATTTGTCAAATACCTGCAAAAATATATTTTGACAGGACACCGAAGAAAATGCCATAAAATAAGAACTTTGAGGACGTCTGACCCCCTTTTTGCAACGAACTAGACGTCTGACGATTTACATACGTTATCTGTGACCTTCAAACAGATAATGTGCAAAATTTCTATAAATTTTGAGCTTTGAGAAAACAGTTTAGATGCTTCTTAAAATTACAACTTTGCCCGCGTCCCAGAGCCAGCTGTCCCGGAACTGTGAGTGCTGACTGTACACTAGCATTCTAGCACTAAAGTACGACCTATTTTGAAAATATCCGCCTTGCGAAAACTCTTGCATGTTTTTGGCGCCACCTCCTGGACTATAAGGGTCCAGGACTGATGTAAGAGATCATTTGAAAAATCATCTCCAAAAATAAGGTCAGGCAAGGAATTTACCATTCTTACTTCTAGGGTCAGTACACAGAGATACATTTTATCTCAGATTCACAAATTCCAGCAGAAATATTTGTTCTCTGAGTTTGTAGAAGGCATTGGACACTGTGAGATTTTGTTGTTGAAGTTGGAGGAGGTGGGTGTTAAAGAATTTTCGTACCTTTAATTCGGAAATTATTTACCCAACATAAAACAAAAGATGATAACAGAGATTCAGAGTTGATCAGGACAGGTGTAGGGTTCCTCAAAGATCATTTCTCGGCCCTGCATTGTTTCCAAATATCATCTAATCTGTATTAGTCTATGGATTTGCAAAGAGCCGCATCAACTAAACTCCAAACTAATGCTTAACTATGTATATATTCTTCTAATATAATATAAAGGTATACACAAAATTAAATTCGATCCACCAATATCATGTTTCTTTGAGAGACGGAAGGCCAAATTTCTCTAAAGGTGTTAAATCCAGCGAGGACACTACCACAGTTGCACCTTTGCGTTGATCCTCGGCAATATTCTCATCTGGCACCATAACCACTTGCATGCCCGCACTTACAGCTGCTTTAACGCCATTCGGTGCATCCTCAAACACTAGACAATTTTCCGCATTCGGTTTGGATGGAAACCTGTAAAAAAAAATGATAATGATTTATCAAATATAGAGATCAAGTCGAGTGAGTTTAGTCAATAATCTTGCTGTTCCACTAATAGTAATACTAGATTGTAAATTTGGTTGCATCGATTCTTATTTCATATATTATAACAAACTTGAATTAGTTACCTTTCTGCAGCTACTAAAAATATATCAGGAGCAGGTTTTCCATGTTTCACTTCCGGATCGGAGCCGCCACAAACTATATGATCGAAAAGCTTGAAAAACTCTTTGTGATTTGCCGATTTCAATTTAAAACTGTCCATTGACGACGAAGTAGCTACTGCTATAGGAATCTTGTGCTTGGAAAGGTGATCTACTAATTTCTTTGCACCTAAAAAAAAATTTATTGTAATAATGCACATGAACCAAAACTCATAAGAAAATATTTGTGTAAAGGCGAAAATACTGTTTCAATCCTAAATTCCAATACATCAATACCTTTTGACAAGCAAGCAATATTATTAAAATTATCAACAATGAATTGGGGCAATAGTATGTATAACGTGATGCCGGGATGGAATAAGTGACTGCGGCGTCAGTATATCAACCCATGATGCGATTGATCATCTAAACTGCAGTATGAATGAGTAGTAGAGTCCATACAACGGAAACACGATAAGCTATTAGAGCTGCAGTGAGAAGTATAGATGTGTAATATGACAACAACAATAGTACATTGGTACCTGGTATAAGTGGAGCCCCATGTTTCGCAAAAAATCCATGGGCAGTACGGCGAAACTCGTGCCTGAACTCTTCAACCGGCATCGGAAGCTTCATCTCAGTAACGGCTATGCGAGCCGATTCATGTTCCACTGTACCAGTTACTTTAGCTACTATGTCATTTGTATATTTTTTCCCGAACCTCTTAGCAATCGTAGCGATTGCATTCCTATACGTCACCTCAGTATCTAGAATTAGAAAATAACCAGTTTATTACTCACCGGGAAAAATATCGGGATTTGCTAGAACAATGTTGTACTCTTCTTGAATGGATTCGTCGTATTCCTCCCATGTCAAAGGCAAATCGAGGGCTTTGACTATGTATTTTGCTCCTTCGCTATGATGAAGACCCATCATTTTGCTTTTAATATCCCAAGTAAATGTTTTTCCATATTTGCCAACTAAGTTTTGTATTGCTTTTGTGTATAACGGTTCTGTGTCTATAATTAATTTGTATTAGAATAAACAACCTATTTTTTTCAGTTATTAAAATCGGAAATAGACATTTTGATTTAGTTAGATAGTTTTCATAGCTAACTGTAAACATGATTAGAATCAGCACTTTTGCCTAAAACTGTATGCAAAAATCTGTGTAAGAATTTCAAAAGCGAGCCCTAAGATACAGGAGAATAACCGTTTCTGTCAGTGAAGGGATATTCACAATTATCTATTTTATTGATTGCCTCTGAAAAATATTAAAATAGAAGAAATATCACTATCCACAACATCAGAATGGTTGTAAAGCAAGACTGCGAAAATGCTCAGGACTAGGTACAGTGAGTGAAAACTCAATGATTTCAAAAGGCGTTAAGATCTTTGCCCCAAATTATTGGGCACTCTTTTCCCAAAAACGAGAGTTAGGATTTGCCTTAGAGAAGTCCAGACAGTAAAACACATTTACTCACTCCTTCGCCCAGCAAACTCTGATAGATAGTATGTTCTTCTCCACCTGTGAGCAAAACCAGTGACTTTTCGCTGTGTAGGGTGGTACATCCACCTTTGGAGCTTAGTTTCTCATACGGAAGTGGACAATCGTTGAAAGCCGAAGATCCTACTATCTATTCAGATAAGCGAACTATGCGGAACTGAACAATTACTTTGAAAGTATTGACTCGAATCTGGGTTTTAGTAATAGTGACTCTAACGAAGCGATAGCTAGTTTCTACGAAGTTATACAGCAAGGAATTAATCAGTATGTTCAGGTTCCCAAGAAAACCATCAGGATCGGCAAATATCCCAAATTGATCAACTCTGAGCCAAAAAACTCAATTGTACATAAAAATCCAGTCTATAAGAAGTACAGAAGATCAAGACGGTAAACGGACTATGAAGCTTACTCTGAAGCCCGGAACGACGTGAAATGCCTTAGTGACATGTGCTACCTGTTACATGTTACATGTCACCACATTTATAAGATCTTCGAAGAAAGATGCAGGTTTGCCGAATCAGATGCACTTTAACAATATCCGTTCTTCGAACCCTCAACAGCTGAATTCTTTGCCACACATTCACTCTGACAACAAGGATGTTGAGATTAAAGAAGACTACTCTCCGATCATCACTTCACAGTTGAGGAAATTCGGAGAAAAAATCTGCATCTCGTTGCCTCAAAGGCCTGGACTGGAAGCTCTCTCCCCAGTGCTTCTTAAACGCTGTTCTTTCGATACTGGCATGTTTCCCAGAAGTTGGAAAATCTCAACACTTTTCCCTATCCAAGAGATGTGAATAATTATAGAGCCATGTCTCTACTATCGCACATTTTAAAAATTATAGAATCCATTCTAAACAGACGATGTGTATTCTTGCTTTAGTAACTGCATTGCTAATGAACAACACGGTTTCTGCAAGGGAAAAACCACTGCTACAAATCTTTCTGTCCACCAACAGTTATTCCTGATGGAATCAGGAAAACAGGTGGACATGATCTTCACGGACATATCAAAGGCCACTGATAGTCCTGGTATTCTTTCGATCTGAGCATACTGATTGTGATCACATAAGGTTTGTTCATGAGGTGTCAAAAACACAGCTGGGGTCAATAAAATCGTTCTAAAACCGGATGAAAATTGTTTGAAACAAACCTAAAGTGACTTCGATCAGTTTGTTCAGATCGAAAGAATACTTCTAGTGTGTGCCATAAGTCGTTACTGAGAAAACTCTAAGATATGGGCTCCGGTGAATGTTTCTTAAAACTTATAGAATCGTACTTAACGGAAAGATGTGACACAGACCAGGGCAAAAAAGACCTCTGGACAACAAAAATGACCGTTCACCGGTTTTTAAGTTTAGTAAAAATTTCGAGAATGATGTGGTAAAAAAAGGAATCCTGGGTGAGTATTTAAGAGGTTTCTTGAAAGAGTATCAAATGAACCAGTTGAAACATCATCTATAGCTGCACCTGGAGAGATACCCAGCAGGCAAGATGAGTGTTGGACAAACAAAATAATGATAAGTTTAAAGCCAGAAACAGGAGGATGTTTGGGGCTTTGATAGAAACACTGCAGATGTTGCAGAAAACTCGAGAGCTAATTTTATGCAAACAAAAACCTCAAATATAAAATCTACCAAGAAGAAAAAGCAATAGGGAACTTTAAAGGGAGTCTAAAAGACATTGATAACAAAATTGGGGATAAAATTCCTAGAATGGACGCGCTCTCGACGTAAACAGCTGGATTCTGGAATATGGCTCTCAATTCAATACCTATCGTGACAATATTCATGAGCCTGTGAGTTTGATGAATAAGTGGAACAAAGACCGAAATTTGGAGCCAAGTATATTTCAAAGTGATTTTCAACTTTAATTTTATGAGAATTCTTGTCGCATTACTGTATCTAGTTTCTTGATATATTTTTTTTTTCACATATTGATAATGATTTCTGTATCCTTATTTCCTATTCTCTAATCAAATGCCACTTCGTTCAGCGAAACTAGCAAGTAACGAAAAGAAGCCTTCTGATCAGAGGCGAATCGGACCCATCAGATGACGCGAGAACGCAATAACAACCAGGTCGCTTTGTTTTGCTCCGGTTTCGAAAGCTTACTGAAGCCATATTTGCATTCACTACTTCACCATTATTACTTGTAAGCTGTATTATCAAAATTACCACACACGTTATTTTGACTTTGGTAATCAGTGACCATTTCTGAAATTTCAATTTCCTTTGAACAGTTTCTTCTTGGGTCAATTTTTCTACCACATCTTCTTCCTTCTTTCCCATTTTCAAGTTCAGGAGACAATGTTATAAAGACACAATCATATACATGAAAAATATTTCCCCTGTTGCACCTCCAGCAAAAAGCGCTGGGAATGCTAGAGGTGGAACAGGGAAAATCGTTTTCATTCTTCATTCAACCTTAGACTTTCTCTACACATTTCATTCTCTCGCATTAAAATTGGCATGCAAGATGTTTACTTGTCAGGCCTGTACATATGTGTATCTCTACATGTAGGTATTTATCCATGCAGAAATACACAAATGTAAACTGTAAAGTGGAACTTTTAGCTATAATATGCAAGCAAACATAAGGTGTATAAGAAACAATTTGGATTTATGATTATATCCATGCTTTTTTTTGTGATGTTTTTCAGGAAAGGTTGCTGGTTGGTACTATTGACATTTTGCGAAATTATCATGCTTATGTGCTATTGAAAATACACGAATGTACAACAGCTGAATTCATGAGTTTATGAATAAATCAATTGTATAAGTCGCACTTCTTCATTATAGTTCTTTGGCGCATTATTCTCATTCTTAGGTCTCTATATTTCTTTGGTATGGCGAATGCTGTCCCTTTTTGGTCCTGGTAGTAAAATTTGCCTTACGAGTCTAGCACTATGGAAAGAATGCGGATAAAAAATTGCAATATTGCCTATTTGACTTCCAATAGAAAATACCTTAATATTTATCTATGTTACACACCTACATTTATAAGGAAAAAGTAATATTTAAAAACGCTGCGCGCACACCTATGACAGGCAGCATAAAGCTCGAAATGAATGGCGTTATTCCCCTTTGCCCTTCAAACGTCGTAGTACTAGACTCGTAAGGCGAACTTTAGATATTTATTAGCTTTGTTCCAACCTAGCAAAGAACTATACATTTCTCAGTCAGGATTCTTGGGACAGTTTTTTGGCTGGTTGGAATAGACCTATTATGTTTTTTGTTCCATGCCCATCTGGTAATCAGTGGAACTTTGAAGCTATAGTTTAATTTTGTCACCTTATTTTTAACACTGTATATTAGTTGAGTTTTTTCAAACATTTTCATTGTCTGATTTTTAGAAAATGATAGGATACAACTCGACATACAAAGTTTGTGTTGGAGTAAAGTAGTTTAAGTAAACTGAAGATTTTAATTGCCTTATGTTGTAGTCTTTGCAAATTGTTCACAAGATATGCACTAGCATTACTTCTCAATCGAACTAGTTGTTCAACCAAAGTTGATCAATTCAATTTGCCTCATGAGAATACCCCTTTCTCGGCCACTTGCGACTTGCACTCTTTGCAAAATCCATACCAGACTTGTAGTGTGTAGAGTAGATAGAATGGCTTTTGGGCAGAAGGGGAGTATCGACTTGACCTATATAAAAGCTAAACCCAATTTTAATGATGTACATACCTAACTGAAAATAATTTAAACAAAACGGGATGCTAGCACATGCACTATTTGACAGTAGATGACTTTTTATGGCAAGAGATGAACTGAATTTTTGTATTTGTATATTCCATGATCTATATCTGGACTGCATCATAAATACTTTGATCCCCCTAAAAGATCTTTCCTATTCGTTTAATATCCTAATTCAAAAATGAAAGTAGGTCTGTCTGTGGTCTCAACTTGTTTTGTAGGTACTACAAAAATTAATAAAAAATGTATACTTTTACTAACCTAAAAGAACTCCATCCATATCAAAGATTACATGTGAAATTTGTCTGAATTTCGTCATTTTACACTAGTATTTTTTCAATTAAAGTTGTTGGATTCTTGCACTCTTGGAATTTAAAATTTAAAAAAAGAACATGTGTTTTTTGTCTACAACATCAGTCAGTGCCCCGCCTCCCGCCACACCAACTCAAGGCAAACTTAAGGTACGTTTCCTATGAAGCGACCACAGACGCACGCGGCTGACGGACTGCGTCCGACGTAAGGTCCGACGCATGTTCAGTGTTTTCTGTGGCACGTTCGCCGTGTGCGATCTTTGGTAGAAAATGGATGATATAGCTATTTTCCTAACGAGTGCGGGAAGAGAAATTTCCGGCACGAGGGTGCGAAACGCCCGAGTGCCGGAAATTTCTTCCCGCAAGAGTTATGAACTATATTTTTTCTACGAGCATACTAAAGCTGATGTTACGAAGAGTTTAATTTAAATAAAATGCGATTATGCAGAAGGTAGAATTCAAAATGTATTGAAAGGTATGTATAAAAAGGTAAAGGTACTGGTATAGGTGTATCAACAATACAAACAATTCCATGTCACAATGATTATTTCAAACTCTTCCCGCACTGAGTGCGGGAAGAAATCTCTTCCCGCACCGGTGCGGGAAGAAAGTCTACGAGCGTGCGGGAAATGGCTCTTCCCGCACGATTTGCTGTGCGGGAAGACTTTTTTCCCGCACCGGTGCGGGAAGAGATTTCTTCCCGCACTCAGTGCGGGAAGAGTTTGAAATAATCATTGTGACATAGGTACATGGAATTGTTTGTATTGTTGATACACCTATACCTGTACCTTTACCTTTTTATAAATACCTTTCAATACATTTTTAATTGTACCTTCTACATAATCGCATTTTATTTGAATTAAACTCTTCGTAACATCAGCTTTAGTATGCACGTAGAAAAAATATAGTTCATAACTCTTGCGGGAAGAAATTTCCCGCACTCGTTAGGAAAATAGCTATTAAAGTGTGTTTTTTTTTTAAAGATAATTCCCCAAGTCAAAAATTAAGTCACTATGTTGGCAACACAAGCCTTTTCTACATTAAAAATTTGAAAGCATGACAATTTTACATTGTATTGCCAACATAATATGTCATTTTGACTTTTATCTTTTAAAAAAAAACGGACTTTGACGGAAGTTTGGGACACGACGCCGAAGGCGGAGTGTTCCATCCAGGGACGTAGCGAAGGCCTCTGGTTTGGAGGGGGGTGACATTCTTAATTTTCCCAACTTTATTGAAACATAAAAAAAATCATATATAGCATCATACGTCGTACACGTGTTAAGAAGTGGAACTTCTTAATAGTATATTACATTACGAGTGTAGAAAGTAACAAATTTCGCACGAGTGTTTTTTCGCGCGAGGCGATAGCCGAGTGTGAAAATCACACGAGTGTATGATAGACGCTTTCTTACGAGTGATGTACGATGTACACCATTTTTCCTACGACCAGAAACCAATTCACATCAATTTTCTCTTATTTTATTTCTTTTCATTTTCAACAGACGTGCTGAAAGTACTTTCAATCCACGTATTGAAAGTAAATTGCTATGTCAATCACAAAAAATGTCAACAGTATTTTCCACACGTGTGCTGAAAGTACCTACTTTTAGCACGAGTATTGAAAGTACTTTCAGCACGCGAGTGATATTTAGCGCTTTCCAAAGAACCAGCTAGTGCGAATTTTGTAATTTTCGTATGTGGTCATAGGAAAAAACTATTCACTCCCTCATGAACTTGTGTCTCATACAACTTTTAGACTTAGCATATGAGTCGGGGTATAAAGATGAAAGGCTACACAATAGACAAACGCGCATCTGTAGAGACGTCACAAGGGTTACACGTAACGCTTCTTTCAAATCACTCTCCATTCTCCTCCAAATCAGGCCGCTGCAAAAGAAGTTTCAGTTCAAAAAAATCATGTGTAGCATCGTATACGTATTAAGAAGTGAAACTTTTCAAAAACTATACCCTCTATACAGCTTTGAGACTTATAGACTGTGAGATAGGGGCTGTTTAGTGGAGTCATTTTTTTTTGTCTGGCATTTTGAGGGCTGAATGTGGCTACTAAGCTGATGAGATTAGGGGTGATTTTATTGCCTGCCTCCCGTCGGAAAATTTGCAGAAGAAAAAAATTGATTTACACGAAGAATTTTTTTTTAATGATCTCAAATTTTCTGGCTTTTACATAAAAGATTGACATTGATAAATAATTCACCCATGAAAAATACCAGATGCTTCTCAATAGGTGAAAAAATGGGGATGAGTGTCAACTTCCAAGAGCAAAGAAAAGAACCTTCTGTGTTTATTTTTTGTCTGGCAATCGAGAGAATGAAATGTGTTGTTGTGAGAATAACGCTGAAAAATCGCCAGACGGTAATCACAGTTCGAAATCGAGTTTTCCGGCGAAACGTTCTGTAGACATTTCGAACAGGGGGCAGGCATTAAAACCACTTATAATCTCATCAGCTAACTAGCCACATTCATCCCTCAAAATGCCAGACAAAAAAAAATGACTCCACTAAACAGGCCCTATCTCAGGGTCTATTAGCTTATGAGTCGGGGTGAAGACGAAGAGCCCGCGTATCTATAGTGACGTTACAAGGGTATCGACGCTTGACAATAATAGGCAATCCTCTTTACTTATAATCCTTTGTTAGTGTGGTTAGTGTGAATTGTTCGTCGGCTGTCATTGTCATTGGTTGATGCCTTTCTCCGTCTCTCTACGTTCTAGCTTCCTTCTCTCTCATCTCTCCTGTAACGAAATTTGCCAAAACGTGACGTTACATGATGCGTCTTTCGTCTTTCAAATCACTCTCCATATTCTCCTCTGAATAATGAATATCAGACCGCCGCCTAGGAAGTTTCACTTCAAAAACTGATAAAAAGTTTGACATGTACAGTCGTGAGCATAAAAAGTGGAACACCCGTTTTTTCCTATTGTAAAACGAGCTCATCAGCTATTAGCCTATCCAAAACACGTGACTTTGACAAGCAAAATATGGCGGGAAAGGGTTGTGTGCCTCTTGGCGAACATTTTAATTTAAGTTTGACAGCATCTTGGATAGTCTAATACCTATTGCAATGACAGAGATTGTTATATTTGACAAAAAAATCCATTGTAGAGAAAAGACTGATTTACCCAAAATAGTGAAAATGACAAGACCTGTCAGTCCGGTGTCCCACTTTTTATGCTCACGACTGTATATATTCCAGACCCAAGATTACTAAAGTTAATAGGTTGCCTGGATAATGGGTAACTTGATGACGCATCTAATCTGAGGTACCTTGGAGATTTGCATTATGTTGAGGCACCCCAGATGACGAAAGAAAATTATCAGAGGGCGGGAACTCTGTGACGGATAAGGATCGTTATCCCTATCGCTATGGCACTTGCTGTCTTTTTCTTTCTTATCAAAATCAATAGAGAGGAGACGTCAATGGAGATAGAGAAAATATCTCTATTCGTTACAGAGTTCCAGCCCAGAGGCAACCTACCTCTCTCAAACAACCTTGTTCCAGACCTACAAATAATATAATCAAATAAACTGTAGGAAGGCTTAAACGAGCGGTTTCAAACTCAGAAAAAGCAGCACAACCGTTTAGAACAATTTTATTTCCAAAAATACCATTTAATGACGGACGGTCCGTCCTGCGCAACCACGTCTCTCCGCCATATTCCCTTCCTTCCCCAACGCTTTCTCGCTCTCCCCGCCAGGGAGCGCCACTGACATCCGGCGCGAATTTTAATTTAAAAGTTTGAGCGGGAATATCAAGTGGTTACTACAGTTCGGCCTATCCTGACTAATCTGATTGCCCTCAATCAGGTGAATCAGTTTCACAAAATACTTTGCTTATAGCAATGCAAAATACATAGTCATAAAACAAAAGTTCGTAAGTCATAAATTCATAAATAACATAAGAGGTACCTGAATCTTATAGGTTTCCATAACACATTCACAATAGAATGTCATAAAGATTATTATCCAATCAAATACATAAGGGTCACAAAGCAAAAATTGTACATAATGAAATCAACACATAGAGTATAACCAAATAATTAGCTGATAAAATACATAAAGGTCATAAGTCAAAGTTATACATAATAAAATCAGCACATAGAACATAACATTATAATAGCTGATAAAATACATAAAGGTCATAAGTCAAAAGTTATACATAATAAAATCAGCACATAATGCCACATAAAACATAATTCACATAGGAAACAAAATAAAACATAGGGTCAAAATCAGGTTAAAATAGTCTTAATCAGGGGAAAGGTCAAAAATCAGATTAAAATAGTCATAATCAGGGGAAATCGAATTTAAATTGGAAGCATTCACTCTCTTTCATCTTCCATCCAAGGTTTCATTCTCGATGGAGCCATAATACCTTCAAAAGGCATCTGTGTGACTTGGAAACCTTCAATATCACTCACAACATATCTGTCATTATCTAAAACAGTCCTAACAACATACGGACCACGATATTTAGGTATCAATTTCTTATTTGTACCTGCAGACACATCAGTATTTACAACCATAACATAATCTCCAACTTGATATTTATGAGAAATCTTATGTTTCCTACTAGGTTTCCTATCATATATGCACTTATTATATTCTTGAGAGTTTATAATATTTTTTGAAGCTTCCTCTCTTATTAATGCTAAGTTTCGATCTGATGTTTCTTGATTTTCTAAAAACTCCCTTAAATTGTCATAAACTTGTCCGCGTTAATTTATTCCAAAAAGCAACGAACATACTAGGAGTATATCCTGTAGAGCGATTAACAGTATTGTTTATTGCATACTCGACCTTAACCAAAATTTCATCCCATTTATTCAAATCATCCGATAATTTAGAACACATTGAATTTATTGATCTGTTTATAACTTCAGCCTTACTTACCGTTAGCTCTAGGCACGCCAGTAGCAATAAGAATATGCTGTACATTATTTTCGGTAACAAAATCTTTAAAATCATTAGAAGTGAAACTTGTTCCT